AAAAAAAATAAGTTTACGAATCGGTAATAGCTTATTGTGACATTCATCTAAAATGGTTTTCCTAAATCGTACCAGTACGTTTTAAGAACATGCCTCGAGTACGAAATAGGCGCAAGAGTCGAACAAACTTTACATTAGTCACCAAAAAATTTGACAACAGATATGCATGTTTTATCACTTCAGATGAAATCACAAAAATACGCACTAATACATCACAGATAGTTAAAAACTTACACACGATCCAATTTGAAGAAATTTCTTACGAAATGTGCAAAAATATTACAGAAAAAGTTGAAAAAACTTTCCTTTTCAATATTTTTGTCGGGAGCAGAGTAACAGCGTGTTGTCTGTCAGATGGTAATATGACCGATTGTTATTTACTTTTTTTGCTACTAGAGACACTAATAGCTATTACCGGAGTCGAGATATAAGCGAAGTACGAATTAGGCGCAAGTACGAATTAGGCAAGTTTACCCTAATTAAAAATACATTTAGAGAAGTCTGCGGTTTTTACTGGCTTATCGAACAAACGAATACGAATGAGACACTAGACCATCACTGACTGATTACTCCTGGAAGTCGGCTTTTTACAGAAACACAGCTTCCCTATCATCAAATGTCACGGCACGCCACTGGCCTGGTATTTTATAGAGTAAATTGAAACTAGGAAAAGAAAATGTCTGTAAAGAATTTTTTTGTTGTTAAAAAATAATATACAGGAGCGAAAATAATAGGGGTGCTATTTTAAATTCGAAATTAAAGTTTGAAGACAATTTAGAAATGTTTATCATCGGGCCGATGATTACGAAATGGCAAATTTCTCTTAAATTTGCCGTCGTCTGCACCGGTTTCTAAGAAAGTGTTGAGGTCACACTTTGCCCCTGTCAACACTTGTTTTATGCAGATTCGTTTTTTACAACCATTTGCAATAACGAAAACGATGTAAGATGGATATACGTATATATATAGATATATATTTAAATGGACATACTATCCTCTCTACCAAATAAAAGCACGATTTATTGTTTTACGAGAAGAGTTTCTTTTTAAAATGGTTGCGAATAAAGGTAACAAAGTATAAATTTCCATTTAAATAAAACCCATACTTTCCAATGTAATCAGCACAAAGCTATTTGGCTAAATTAATTTCACTCAAGTTATTACGTAAACATCGATATCACTTACGTCCATTTAGTATTATTATTTCTTTAACAATGACATTTAAAACCAATTACTGTAGATATAAAAACAAAATATCAGTTGCGATTTTATTATGTAGTACTATATTTCATAATAAATCACTTAGTAAAAATTCGTGTAATTTATATTTGTCAATGGAAATTACAAATACAGTAATTTAAAATTTAAAAAGTAAATATTGAACATAGAACATTCGGGTAATTTTAAACTAAAGGATACAAAATGTAGAGGGAATCCAAAAGGCTGTAAAGGAAAAAAATTGCAGGAAGAAATTGCTGAAAATACACGAATAACAACTAGTGAACTTCCAACAAATCTTAATGTGTCACAGACGTGTGTTGTCTAAACACTTCCTGGACTTGGAATGGTCGCAATATACCACGATTAATGCATTAAGTAGGGGGATAAAGCAAACTGGTTGGGGTATAATTTTGTGTCGAGAAGACAGGCAGAGTTTTATGGATGACAAAATTAAAGTAATTATTTTTAATTATTAAGTAAAATTAAAGTTATTAACCGAAAACTTGTTCTGTAAATTCGTGTTTGTTCTGTGGAGTACCGAGCGATTTTTACCCACTGAAAAATGTGTTCGAATATCGAATTATTGGATTTTGGTTTAGCTCTCACACTCTTTCTACTTAACCGAAATTATCGTATTTACAAAGATTAATCCAAATAGTTTTTAAAGCAGAGTCTTTACATTGTTCATCACTTTGTTTAAAGATTTTAAAGAATTCCTCAAATTTTAAGAGAGTTTAATAAATTAAGTAATATTTACATTGTCATTTCTTTTTAAAAATTATCTTTCATTTATAAGATAAAATTACAGATTTGACAATATAAAAGAGCAAATTTTAAGTTAATTTCGCATTAAAATCCACAGTATAAAGAAGTATACACAATGTATCGTAAAGAAATAAATAAAACAGAAACATAACGTGATTTTACAATACAAAACATTTTTCTTGTTCGACAGATTTCGTGTATTAATTAATTTAAGACAGGAAATAAATGAAAATATTAAACAAAATATCAAATCAGAAGAATAAACATCTAGTTTAAAACTAATAAAAAATTACAGTATAATATAAAATACGTTCTAATAGAGAATACCATTCAAGTATTTCAATCTTATCACGTCAAAGGTTTCAACACTTCTAATAAATTCTATGAATAATTAAATGTACTTCATCAATCATATATTAATTATTATAAGTGACAGAATGTTTTATTCATGAATAATAATTATTATTATATGGGAAAAACGGCACATTAGAGCTAGATTTCCAGTCAACAGATGTATAAGAGACAAGCTATGAATAAGAAGTATGATAATATATTATAGATACTTATGTTAATATCTGTTAACTTTATATATTTATAATATCAAAAGAATTTCACCATTTCCAATCATAACAAGGACAGTTTAATTATAATAATAGTAATATATATTTTTTTGCTAAGTTAAGAAATTTTCTCCAAATGTTAAAATGTTAAGAAAATTTTTTCCAAGGT